GGATGGATGAATAGTGGATGGATTGATGGATGATTGATGGATGGTAGTTGGATGATGGATGGATAGTGGATGGATGGATGGATGGATTGATAGATGGATAGTGGATGGTAGATGAATAGATAGATGGTGGATGGACTAATGGATGGTGGATGGATGGATGATGGAGGGATGGAGGGATGCAAGACAGTGAGGGTGGGAGGGTGGGAGGGCAGAAATAGGGGGATGGATGGAAGATGGGAAGGAGGATGGAAGGATGGGTGAATGAATGGATAGATGGGTGGGTGGATAAAAGAACCAATCAACCAGCTACCAACCCCAGGAGGGGATAAGGGTTGAGGAAAAGGGGTCCCAACACCTCTCTTCTGAGGCAATCATGACAACATCAACTCTAACTTCTGTGCCAGGCACCAAGGCTGAGCATTCCTGCATCACATCTCTCTTAACTCTCACCATCACCCTACATCCTGGAACCTACTGCTGCTTCCATTCCTCAGATGAAACAGTGGAGGCTCAGAGAGGAGATGCGCCCTGCCCAGTCACCCAGTAGGCAAATGGCAGAGCCACCATGCTGGCGTCTGGCTGCCTGGCTCACACCCCTGCATTCTGTGGGCGCCACCCTCCCTGCTGCCCCCTCACCATGGGTCCCTGGTCTTGCAGCTTCCCCTTTCCCCAGGGCAGACTCACCCTGGCAGGTCACAGAGCCGCAGGTGGAGGGAGTGCCACAGCCAGTGTGCGTAGTCAGTCTGTACTTCTCCCTGGAAGCTCTGTGGGGCACTAGAGGCCCCGAGGATGTGCTCCAGTGTGGCCTCCACGGTGATCTTGTCCGGCTGAGATGGCCGATACCTTTGGAATGACAGGGCCCATGTGTCGGGGGCTTATCATGTAAGAGAATGCCCATGGCCACCTGCAGGTGGAGACCCTCATGTAGCAAAAGCATGTGCCAGGAATCCACCGTCAGAGCCCTTATTAGCCACAATACCCCCTTACATTCTGGGGCAGGATTTTTTTTTTTTTTTTTTTTGAGATGGAGTCTTGCTCTGTAGCCTACGCTGGAGTGCAGTGGCATGATCTCAGCTCACTGCAACCTCACCTCCCAGGTCCAAATGATTCTCCCACCTCAGCCTCCCAGATAGCTGGGACTACAGGTGAACATCGCCACACCCAGCTAATTTTTTTGCATTCTTAGTAGATACAGTGTTACACCATGTTGGCCAGGCTGGTCTCAAACTCCTGACTTCAGGTAATTTCCCAAAGTTTTGGGATTACAGGCGTGAGCCACTGCACCCTGCCCATGGTAGGATTTCTGCTGTGAGCACTTAGGGGGTTGGGCCTAAGAGCCCGAGGAACCCAGGTGGGAGGCCCAGAGGAGGAAGGCGGCTTCCAGGGCCAGCCCTCCCCAGTTCTCCATGGCCTGGTTCCTGCCCCAGGCTCTGCAGAACAGTGCTCGACACCACGAGGAACCCATCAGGCAGTGATGCTGGAAGAGACCTCGTCCCTGATGCCTCCAGGAACCTGAGCTCCTGATCTCCCTCCACCCCCTCCTGAGAAGCCCACAAGCACCCCGCCTCCTTCCCCATCTGTTCATAGCATCTCATGCTGGAAACACCTGCTGTTCTTGTCTTCCAGAGCCCTCACCACATCCCAGGTAGGAAGGGAGTACCGTGCCCATTTCACAGATGAGAAAACCAAGGCACACAGCAGAGAAGTGAGTTTCCCAGGATCTGGCAAGCACTGGAACCCAAGACCACACAGTCCCAGAGTGGGACACTCCTGCAGCAGGTGGAGCCGCTTGGGGCTTCCCTGCCCAGACGCTGCTCCCCAGGCCTCACCTCATATGTCAAGTTCTGCTGCATGTACTGCTGGCCCCAGGACACATTGAGCTGTTCAATGAACATGTCTGGGGTCTGTGTTATGGCCCCGCAGGCTCGGAGGGCATCCAGGCCCCAGGTTTCCTGGAGCTGATAGGGATGAAAATAGGGTATGTGACCTGGTGGGGGGGGGGGCAGCCGAGAAGCCTGGAGCAAAGGGGAGCCCCACACTGGGCACAGTGGCCAGGCCCCGCATACCTGCCCCGGGGAGGTGGCCAGGCAGCCGTCCCAGGCAGTGCTGTGTGCTGAGAACCTGTTGGCCCAGGCAGGCTGCAGGGTCACAGGCTGTCCTCTGTTCCAGGTGAGCTGCACCTGCGTTGAGATGGGAGGGTAGGGGTGGGGATAAGGGGGAGATGTGGGGGAGAGGAGAGGCTAACGGCACCCCCACACCCCATGTCTGCTGGGAAATGAGAGGCTAGGGAGGATGGAGAAGCTGGGACTCTCCCCCCCTCCAATATCTCTGTAGTGGAATTAGGATTGGGGGTGGAGAGACTGCCTTGCCCCTCATCTCTAGAAGAGCCCAGAGCCATTCCCAGGCTGGAGACTGAAAGCATCTGGATAAAAAGCCCGCCTCATCCCAAACACCCCGACTCAGCATTTCCAAAAACAGAAAGCTATCGTGCGCCTCACTGCAGCCTCCAGGGCCAGCAGGATCCGTCCCTGCCCATCTGACCTCATCTCCCCACCACCCCCACCCCACCCCCTGCCAATCACTCTGCCCCTGTCTTATTCCCCCTCCCGCCCTCCCTGAAGCACCGGGCTCCTTCCTGACACTAGCTCCCCCACCCATCTGCCCATTCACTCTCAATCTCATTTCCTCTTTTTTCTCTGAGATGGAGTCTCATACCCTCTTTACTTTTTTTCCAGTCGCCCAGGCTGGAGTGCAATGGCATGATTTTAGCTCATTGCAACCTCTCCCTCCCAGGCTCAAGCAATTCTCCTGCCTCAGCCTCCTGAGTAGCTGAGACTGCAGGTGTGCACCACCATGCCCAGCTAATTTTTTGCATTTTTAGTAGAGACGGGGTTTTGCCATGTTGGCTAGGCTGGTCTCAAACTCCTGACCTCAAGTGATCTGCCTGTCTCGACCTCCCAAAGTGCTGGGATTACAGGCATGAGCCACTGTGCCTGGCCCCTCTTTACTGCTTTATGATGCTTACTGTACCTTCTAATTTTAAAATTCATTCCTTAGCTTGAATTCTGGAGAGCGTCTTTTCCCTGCACACGGCTGGCCTATTGTCTTCCCTTTCACAGATGGAAAAACCTAAGGCTCAGAGAGGTGATGGGAAATGGCTGAGACCACCCAGCCAGATGGGGCACCCAGCTGCCTCACTCAGTCTCCAAAGCTACCGCTAAACAAGCAACTATAAGTGATGAATTGGAGATGCCTGTACCTGTTTCCCATATTAAAATGTGAGCTGTTTTCAAACACTACCTGGTATACAGTAGGTGCTTAATGAGGTATTGATAAAGGAAGAACCGAATGAAGGACCCTGGAGATCCGCAGGCTTCAGGGAGCTGTGATTCTGGAGAAGTCTTTGTCACTGATGAACACGGTCTCCTTCTCCTACCTGAGGTGCCCAGCCCCACAGGCTCAGCCACGTCCCAGCTCCTGCCCCTGGCTAAGGGCGCCTCGGACATCCTCGCTCACCTGCCAGCTCTGCCTGCCACTCCTGCTCTCAGCAAGGCCGCTGGCCTCAGCTTGCCGCCAGGAGACGTTGAATGAGTGAGCTAGGGCCAGGCGGGCAGCCAGCTAACTCTTCCCCAGCCATAGGGAGGCAGAGACCAGCATCTGGGGAGGGGGACAGACTCAGCCAGGGGCCTTACCCAGACCGGCCGCACCTCTTTCCCACCCGCACAGACCACCTTCTCCATCAAGGTGAAGGCTGCAAGGGCAGGTGGCTTTGAGGACAAACCCAGCCCTGTGCAAAGTCCTGGGAGAGCTCAGCCCATTTCTCAGAGGAGAACATTGAGGCTTGGAGAGGAGTGGATGGAGCGAACAAATGACAGAGATGAAACTGGAGGTTGCCCTCCTCTTCCACTGTCTTCCCCTAGCTCTGTGGCTCCGGGCAGGTCATGATGCCTCTAAGTCCTTCAATTTCATCATCTGAACACGGGGCTATTAAGAGACTGTGGGACATGATGCAGCCTTGTCAGCCGCAGGTAAGACTCTTCGGGCAGGGGAGGGCCCCAAGGACCCCGCTCAGCCTTCAGGGTGGAGTTCAGCTCTGCCCCAGGGTCATCTTCCAGCCCTGACACCTACCTGGTCCCTGCCATCCCAGCCAACAACCAGGCCATCCCGGTGGCTGCCTCCCAAATGCTCTTACAGGCAGAGACTGCAGTGTCATGGCAGGGGAAAGGGCAGTGGGTGGGTGAGCTCCACTGGGCGGGTGAGGACAAAGGGTAGGGCGTGTGAGCTGAGGTCAGCAGCTCCAGGCCCAGGGGGTGTTCAGGGGACCCTCAGTGGATGCTGCCGCCAGCTCAGGCAGGTGGCCACTTGGGGGCCACACCCCCAGATAATTTTCACAAAATTTGGAAGCTACGTGCTCACTTCGTCACCATCACCACTTGACACCCTGTGCTGTCCCTGTGGGAGCCCCCATTGCAATGAGACTTCACAGCTCCTCCCCAGCCCTTGGGCCTGGACTGGCCTCGTGATGCGCTAATGGAGTTTAGCGAAGTTGACCAAGCGCCAGTTCTAAGCCCAGGCCTTAAGACGCGCTGCCCCGCTTCCTCCCTCAAACCCCTGCCCAGCCACATGAGAACCAACCCAGCTCACCTGTAGGCTGGTGCCACCTGGGGTTGCAGGGAGCCTGGTTTCAGCTCAGGATATCCAAGCACAGCTGACAACCAGCCCCTGAGCAGGTCAGAGAGCCCAGCCAATGCCAGCAGAGCCACCTGCTCACCCTACAGCTGACCTTGAACATGCGGAAGACCAGAAAAGCTGCCCAGGTAACCCACAGCCTCGTGAGCAAGGAGCTACGCCTCCTTTATGCCACTGAGTTTCGGAGCAGTTTGTCATCTTGAATCAGGAGCTAGTGGGAGCAGCCCCAATCCCCAGCAACCTGCATAACTCTTGGGGCCTCACATGCACGGGTGACCTGCAGCCCCTCGGAAGCCCCGCACCCCCATGCTGCCCTTCCTATGCTCTCCTTCCATCTTGGGTATGACAGGTGGCACCCCATAGCTGAGTCCTCACAACAGTCTGCACACCCTGGGTCTTCTTCCTCTGTCCCCCAGGTGAGTCAAGCTGCCCTGACCTCCTGCCTCACTTGACCCCACCTCCTGAGGCCCCTGCATAGTCCTGCTTTCCCAGACCCCCACAGCAGGAGGCTGCCCAGGGGCCCTTTGCACTGTGGTGAGCTCTGAGCTCTGTATAAAGGGCACCCACCTGTTCGGATGGGCTGCAGGGAGCTGTGCCCAGAGACACTGGCACTGGCTGGTTCTCAGGGCATCACCCAGTCATTGGTTCTGGGGAAGCTGACCACATGCAGGGCCAGAAACCTTTTCCCTGTCACCTGCTGACCCACCACCTGCAACATTGTGACCACAGTGTGGGGCTGCAGGCTGTGAGGCTCATCAAGGGTGGCACAAATACACAAACACACACGTACATGCACATACATGTATACACACACCCACACACACAGGCATGCTCACATGCAGGCACGCACACACACGCACACATGCGTGCACATACATGCACATGCACATGCTCACAGTCATGCCCACATATACACATGCACACAGGCACCACATACATGCACACACATGTGCACAAACAGGCACAGATACATGTGCACATACAGGCATGCACACACATATGCACACAGGCATACACAAGCACACATACATGCACACACACGTGCATATACAGGAATGCACAGGCACATACACTTACATGCACGCATGCATGCGCACACACAGGTGCAGATACATGCACACATACAGGCTTACACATGCACACCCGTGCACCTAGTCATCATACATAGGTGCACACACATACATGCACACACACATGCACACATACATACATGCACACTGCCTTGGCTCGTGTAGGACCTGCTCATTTTCATTTCCTCTGCCTTCCAGGGCACACATGGCAAACATGACACTGGGAGTATTCCATCAGGCCACCTGGAAAGCCATGCCCCCAGGCTGGGGTCTACATTCTGTCTCCGCACCTGGGAGGTCGGGGGTCGGGATCTTCTCTGTGCCCAGCGGGTTTCTCACACAGAAACTGACAGTCTGCATGGCTGCACAGGCTACGAATGACAGCCCCTTCCAGGGATGCCTGTTCCTGGAGGACCCTGGGGCTCATGGCTGCCATTGGGGCTTCATTAGCGTTCACCTCTCCTGGAACCAGAATTGCCCAGGGATGCCACCCCTCCCACACCCTGGCCTCTCCTCCCTGCCCGGTTCCACTCAGAATAAACCCCAGCTCCTGTGTGACCTGGGTCCCCCAGCCCTCCTGCCTCACCTCCTCCCTTCTCCCCACTCGAGCCACGCTGGCCTCCCTGACGCTGCTCCACAGGTAAAGCTCATTTCCACCAGGGCCTTCTACCTGAAGTGCCTCTGCACCTCAGCCAGCTCCTCCTTATCCCTCAGATCTCGGCTTGGAAGTCACCTCCTCCAAGAGGTCTTCCCATATCACCCTACCTAAAGAAGCCCCACACTCCACACAGACCCTGCTTGCTCTCACAGTCTTTCCCACACGTGGAAATGGTCATGTTGGATGTTATTTTGCTTATGTGTGTTTTGTTGCTCAATGACTGTCTCCCTGAGGGGGACACCTGGGCCATCTTGTTTCCCAATAGATCCCTCGTGCCTAGAATCACACTTGGGATCAGCAGGTGCTCAGTGACGGCTTTTTTTTTGTGAGACCAAGTCTTACTCTGTTGCCCAGGCTGGCGTGCAGTGGCATGATTTTGGCTCACTGCAACCTCTGTCTCCTGGGTTTAAGTGATTCTCCTGCCTCAGTTTCCCAAGTAGCTGGGATTACAGGTGCCCACCACCACACCTGGCTAATTTTTGTATTTTTAGTAGAGATGGGATTTCACCATGTTGGTTGGGCTGGTCTCGAACTCCTGACCTCAGATGATCCACCCACCTTGGCCTCCCAAAGTGCTAGGACTACAGGTGTGAGCCACTGTGCCCAGCTAGGGATGATTTCTTGAGTGGCTGGATCACTGCTGCCCGCATTCCCTCACACACTCACCCTGCAGGCTGAGGTTCCTGAAGGGCTTGGGGAGAAGCCCAGAGAGGCTCCCAGTGACAGCCAACACCTGGCCATTCCACAGCAACTCCTGGTGCAAGACACGGGTCCCATGAGCTCGCTCATATGTGGTCTGCAGGACCATCTCCCCAGGAAGAGCACTGAGCTGGAAGAGAATGATGGCGCCACAGGGAAACCTGACACAGGCTTCTGCCTGGGATGGGAAAGGAGAGAAGTTTGCAGAGGAGAAAAAAGGGAGTATTTGTGGATCATTTCTAGTTTCCTGCATGGCAACATATGTCAGGGAATCAAAAAGCCAAATGCTTCCTAAGAATGAGTGGATAACATAAAGGAGAGGAGTGGGTGAGGGGACTATGGCCAACTGGAGACAGTGCAGAACAGCCACCTCTCAACTCCATGGCCAAACTGCGTGGCTCTGGGCAAGTTTCCAACCTCTCTGAGCCTCACTTTCCTAGACAATGGAAGCAAGAAAGTGTCAACTTCTGCAAGATAATACAAACGGTGCACTCAGCCCAGGGCTAGATCGTGGAGAGGAGATTGGAGGAGCCATGCAGTTGGTATTGTGATTTCTCAATCATGTACTGAGCATGTATTATGCTCCCAAGCTAGTGCTGAGTGCCTGGGTACAAAGGTAGCCAAGACCTGATCCTGGCCCTTACGGGGCTTCCAGGCTGACAGGGAGATAGTCAAAGGACAGAAAATGATGGGACAGGGATGGTCACAGAGGCATTCAAGGGTGAAAGGAATGCAGAGAAGCAAGCTTGGGGAGGAGGCAGGGAAGAACATTCCAGGCAGATGGAACAGCCTGTGCAAAGGCTCAGAGTGAGTCACTGTCCTTGCTTGTAGGTACCATAGTCCGAGGGTCACCTGAGGGCACTGCAGAGGGACTGCTGGGGGTGGGGTCGGAAGTTTGCTTTTTTTTTTTTTTTTTTTTTTTTTTTTTTTTTGGGTTTTTGTTGTGTTTCCCAGGCTGGAGTGCGGTGGTGCAATCTCTGCTCATCGCGACCTCCACCTCCCAGGCTCAAGCGATTCTCCTCCCTCAGCCTACTGAGTAGCTGGGACTACAGGCATGTGCCACCATGCGCCACCATGCCTGGCTAATTTTTTGTATTTTAGTAGAGACGGGTTTTCACTATGTTGGCCAGGCTGGTCTTGATTTCCTGACCTTGTGATCTGCCCGTCTTAGCCTCTCAAAGTGCTGGGATTACAGGCATGAGCCACCATGCCTGGCCCTTCCCTTAGGTTTTCAAATGGCTGGCGCTTATCATCCATGGCTAGCTCAAGAGGCACCTCCTCAGTGGAGCCTTCCCTGGCCACCTAATCTAAATGTGTTCCCTGTTCACTCTCAGTCACTTCAGTGCGTCTTCTCCATATCATACTAGTATCTGGCATGTCTGTGTGATTTTGGGTAGTTAATCTCCCCCACTAGAGAGCACAGTTAATGAAAGGGAGATCAGTTCCACTTTAGGTCACACCCCAGCTTCTAAAATAGTGCCTAGCACCTAGTAGATGCTCAATAAATAATGCAAAAGGAAGAAGGGATGGATACAGACACCAGCTAATAATCTACTCCAGCAATTTTTGCCCGTTTCACAGCCTTGCCTGCCCTTCCCTCCCAGGAACCAGAATATTAGGACAATTTCTCTTTTCTCAAAGGGCTGTCCCAGGAGCCCCCCACCCCCACCCCAGCATGCCCTGGGCCTGGACTGTCCTCCACATACCTGTAGGAAAGTCTGTTCCAGCTTCAAGTTGTTGGGGAGACTGGCCTTAGCAGCTACCAGCCGGGTGCTGATGTGAAAATGACGCTCTTCCGCACCCAAGGCAAACGTGCTCTGAACCTCATCCTTGGAGTAGTATAGCTGGGTCGGGGGAAAAAAAAAAACCACGATAGATCTCCTCATCAGGGCTCTGATGGAACATTTAAGCAGATGCTGGCTCTAAGCCGTGAGCTCTGCCTCCCAAAGCCCCAGGCCCAAGAGACCCACAGCTTCCTGGGCTGGAGGAACTTTGATGAAGCAACGGTTTGGAGCCTCAGTTTAGGCCATCAAATGTGGCCATGGCAACTATCTTCTCAGGCCCTCCCTGCTGTAACACAGACTTGAAAATATCTACCAGCCTGGTGCCAACAGGCAAGAACTCTAGTTGCAGTACTGTTGCAGACCGCAGGGGGCAGTCTAGCAGAAAGGACAATGATTGGGCTTGTGTCTGCATCAAACACACAGAGCTCCAAGTGTGGATCCACCACAGAGAGGTGAGTGATCTCCAGCTAGTTCCTTAACCACCCGAGCCTCAGCCTTCTAATCCAAAACACAGGGATAAGGACACCTATTCTGTTATGGGTTGCTGTCAAATTGTATGGAATAATGTGCTAACTTCCAGGTTGGCTGAATGCAGAATCACTGGGGGAAACTTACTAAAAATATAGATTCTGGGCTCCCACCTAAAACCTTTAAAAACAGTCTCTGAGAAGAGGTTCAAAAGCTGGTACTTTTTTTTCTTTTTTGAGACAGAGTCTCGCTCTGTTGCTCAGGCTGGTGTGCAGTGGCACAATCTCAGCTCAATACAACCTCCGGCTCCCGGGTTCAAGTGATTATCCTGCCTCAGCCTCCAGAGTAGCTAAGATTACAGACATGTGCCACCATGCCCAGCTAGTTTTTCTATTTGTAGGAGACGGTGTTTTGCCATGTTGGCCAGGCTGGTCTTGAACTGCTGACCTCAGGTGCTCCACCCACCTCGGCCTCCCAAAGTGCTGGGATTATAGGCTTAAGCCACCACACCTGGCTAAGAGCTGGTACTTTTAATGAGCTCACCAGAGATGCGTCGTTACGTTAGCAATACCCCTGTCAAAAATGTTCAGCCTGAATCTTATCTTCAGCAAACAATCTGACAAATCCACATTAGGAGAATGTTTTGCAAAATAACCTCCTGGACACTTCAAAATTGTCAATACAGGATTTTTTTTTTTTTCTTTTTTGAGACAGGGACAGGGTCTGCTCTGTCATCCAGGCTGGAGTGTGCAGTGGTGTGAACACAGCTCACTGCCGCCTCAACGTCCTGGGCTCAAGCAATTCTCCCATACCTCAGCCTCCTGGGTGGCTGAGACTACAGGTACACACAGCCATGCCTGGCTAATTTTTTAATTTTGTAGAGACTGGGTTTCCCTAAGTTGATCAGGCTGGTCTTGAACTCCCGAAGTCAAACAATTCCTGGCCTCCCAAAGTGTTAGGATTACAAGTGTGAGCCACTGTATCTGGTTGGGATTTTTTTTAAAGGTGGTTAATAATAAAATGTTTAGGGGAAATTATATTGATATCTGCAACTTATTTTGAAATGTCTCCAAAAATAAGATGGATGGAGAGCTATGTGATTACGTGAAATAAAATGTGAACAGGAAAATCTAGGTACGTGGGTGTTCACTGTAAAATTACTTCCATTTTTTAGTGTCTAAAAAATTGTATAATAAAATCTAGGGGGGTCTGAGTGCAGTGGCTCACGCCTGTAATCCCAGCACTGTGGGAGGCCAAGGTGGGCGGATCACTTGAGATCAGGAGTTTGAGTGAGCTGAGACTGCATCACTGCACTCCAACCTGGTGACAGAGAGAAACTGTCTCAAAAAAAGTAAAAAAAAAATTAAAAAATAAGTAAAACATTGGGTTAGGAAAGGTAGAGTGTGGAAGGAGAATGCTCTAGATCAGGAGCTGGCTTTTGGTCAAATGTGGCCCACAACCTGATTTTGTAAATAAAGTTTTATTGTAATGCAGCCATGCCTATTCACTTACATATGGTCTATAGCTGCTTTTGTGTTAACAATGATAATTCTGAGTAGCTATACCAGTGATCGTAAGGCCTGCAACCCGCACATTTTACTTTACAGTAAAAGTCTATAGACCTCTGTTCTGGCAACTACGCAGGCTGTGTGATCTTGGCCTGTATCCCGGATTTAAAACAAGTTTTTTGAAAAATGTTATTGGGAAAGCTGGGAAATTTTATATGGGCTGTACATTAAATGAAGGTCTTACTTCAATGTTCAGTTTCCTGAATGTAGTAATTATTGTGTTAAATCAGAAAATATCCTTGTTACAGGAAAGAGTTGAAGTATCTCAGAGTAAAAAGATGACGTCTTCAGAAACATCTCTATATTAATTCTTAATGATACAGAAAAAATGTGTGTATGATACAAATTTATGTAACATAGATAAGAAATATGGAAAGGCATTAACAATTGGTCAGTGTTCACTGTCCCACAGTAACTTTTATATAGGTTCAAATGACTCAAAATAAAACTCGGGGAAAAAAATGAAGAAGCTCCCTGAATGGAGCCAGGTGTGATGGTACCACCTGTAGTCCCAGCTACTCCGGAGGCTGAGGTGGGAGGATCATTTGCACCCAGGAGCTTGAGGCTGCAGTGGGCTATGATCACGTCACTACACTCCAGCCTGGGTGACAGAGCAAGACCCTGTCCCCCCAAAAATTTTCAAAATAAAAACTAAGGCCGGGCATGGGGGCTCATGCCTGTAAATCCCAACACTCTGGGAGGCCGAGGGGCCGAGGTGGGTGGATCATTTGAGGTCAGGAGTTTGCAACCAGCTGGATAAGATAGTGAAACCCCATCTCTACCAACAAAAAAAAAAAAAAAAAAAAAAAAAAATCAGCCAGGTGTGGTGGTGCATGCCTGTAATCCCAGCTACTCAGGAGGCTGTGGCAGGAGAATCAACTGAACCCAGGAGGTGGAGGTTGCTGTGAGCTGAGATCATGTCACTGCACTCCAGCCTGAGCAACAAAGTGGGACTCTTTCTCAAAGAATAAATACGTAAATAATAAAGAAGTTCCCTGAATGTTGTGCAGTTGTAGCAAAGTTTGGGGAACTCCAAAATCATGTGTAAATGCGGCAGAGGACCCCAGCACATAGCACGTGCTCTGTAAAGGAAGTCGGCCTGGGCCAGGGTTAGGAGGATGCCTAGCAAAACATGGTGGCTGGCTGGAAAATGAAGTGACCAGTTGGCAGATGTGACCATTCATGCATGCATTCACCCATTCATGCCCTGTTTTTTACTGAGCACCTACTATGCACTGGGCCCTGTGCCAGGCACTAGGCATGCCCTCCAGGCACACTGGATTTGGACAAGGACAACGACAGGTCAGAGGGACAGAGGAACCTGGCCTAAGTCTAATGGGCCCTCCTGTCCACTCCCAGGACCCCCTAGTCCTGTGTGCAGAGCAGAGACGGGGTGACACTGGCTCAGCTCAAAGGACTGCATCATCTGCTCCAGCCTCTACAAGTGCACCAGTGTGGGTGAGGCAACGCCAGGCACCAGGCACTGGGTGAGGAGACCTCCCCAGTCTCCTGAAGGGCTCGTGGGCCTGGCTGGGGGCCGGCCCAGGAATGTAAACCTGGGTATGTTTGGGAAAGCTGGAGCCAGGAGTTTCCAAGGATGGCCCACAGGGACCTGCTGCAGGCTGGCGGACAGATGCACATGCGTTAACACGCCCCAGAGGGGCCTGGCCCCCTCCTGCCTTGGGCTGAGCATCTGGAACCAGTTAGGAGCCAGGTGGCTGGGGCACAGTTACCTTAGCTGAGGCTGAGGCCGAACTAGGGCAGCGGCCCAGGAGGGAGGGGAGATGATGCCAGCCTGAGAACCGCTGCCCTTTGCCAGAAGGAAGGAAAGAGAGGGCTTGAAGCTAGCAAGATACCACCTTGTCCAGTGCCCCCAGGGCCAGGTTGGACCAAGTCAACTTCCCCAAGAGAGGGTCAGAGAGCCAGGATCACATCAATGGCCCGATGCAGGGCTATTCACACACCCTGAGGCCCCAGGGCCATACGGTGTCCTGGTTAGGGCTGCACTCTGGAGTCAGGTGACCTGGGTTTGAATCCCAGCTTGGCCCCTGCCTAGCTCTGGCACCTTGGACAAGCTTCTCAGTTGCCCCTCTCTGAGCCTCAGTTTCCCCACTGGTATCAAGGGTTAAGCATGGCTCTGGGCTGCAAGTCTGCCATGAGCCCATCAACGAGCTTTCTTGGGTTGGTCCCATGGGAGCCCCAGCAGAGTGTAGACAGGATTGTGACCCCCCGCTGCCTCCCAGGGATCCTTCTCATATAGCTCCCCTCCCCTCACTCCTTCAGGCCAGGGTGGGAATCGTCTCCATGTGTCCTTTTCTTTTTCTTTTTCCTAGAGGCAGGGTCTTTCTCTGTCACCTAGGCTGGAGTTCAGTAGTATGATCTCTGCTCACTGCAGCCTCCACCTCCCAGGCTCAAGTGATCCTCCCACCTCAGCCTCCAGAGCAGCGGGGACGACAACAAGCGTCACCACACCTGGCCAATTTTTAAGACTTTTTGTAGAAATGGGGGTCTCACTATGTTGCTGGAGCTCCTGGGTTTAAGCAATCCTCCCTCAACCTCCCTAAGCACTGGGATTACAGCTGTGAGCCACTGTGCCAGGCCTGCGTAACCCCAGGGTGCTGCACCCTCCTGTCGGGTTCCTCTCCACCCCAGGGTCTCAGCCTTGCCACAGCTGACACGTTGGCTCATGGTCACAGTCGTGGGTGTGTCCTGTGCACCGTAAGATGCTTAGCAGCATCCGTGGCCTCTGTACACTGACCCTCACAGCGTCGTCCTCCCCAGTGTAACAACCAGAAACTCCCAGGCATTGCCAAAAGTCCCTGGGGGTGGAGGGACTCACCTCTAAGTGAGAACCACTGGTCTACCCCTTCAACAAATGGCTTACTCACCCCCTCCCCCACTGCTGAGATCCGAGTGCTGGAGACTGGCTGGTGGCCCCTGACGTAGTGTACCCATAAGAACACCAAGCACCTCACCAGGCCCCCAGCCCCAAGGGCAGTAAGAGTCACTAATAAGTGTTTGGGGCCTGGGATGTACTTAGTTTCTGACACCAAGAACTTATCAGTGCCCTGCCTGGAGAGGTTGAGGGATTTTTATAGCTGTGTGACCTTGGAAAAGTCGCTTGCCCTCTCTGAGCCTCCCTGCCCACATCTATTGATGGGAGCTGAGCAGAGGATCGAGAGGTGCTGTGTCCAGCATTGGTGCACAGTAGGTGCCCAGCCAATGGTTCTTCCCCCTGACTCCTCTCCTCCTGGTGGCTGGGGCGGGGGGGGGGGTCTCACCTGACTGCCTGGTTCTGGCCACAGACGTTAAGGACCAAGCTGGCGTGAGAATCGCAGGTCAGCCGCAGTGAGGAGCTCATCTCTTCCACCGCCCAGGGTCCTTGGAACACAAGCTGAGGAGGGAGCAGACTGCCAGGTGTGCGGGTGTAGACAGCCTGAGGAGGCCAGGTGGGGACCCTCATAGGCCAGGCTCTATAGCCCAGCACATCCCCATTCCCATGCCCTGCAGGACTGGCTCATCCAACACTCTCATGGGTGCTGAGGATGCAGGGCTGGGGTCAGCCCCTGTTGCAGCTCAGGTTGGCAGTGCCCACTGAGGGATGCTAGAGGACAGCTGCAGCGCAGACATCATCAGGGACCTCACTCCCCGGGGGACTCCCCATCACCTGGCCTCAAGTGCAGGAAAGAGTTTAGATGAAGTCAGGGGCACGGGGTATCCAGTCCACTCAGTTGTGGGGTACAGAGCCGAGAGCCTTTGCAGGAGGGAGAGCCTTTGACATCCTGGCCCCGAGCCCTGGGGAGCTGCCCTCTCCTCCCATGGCAGAGTGGACTGGGGCAGGGTTGCTGGGTAATCTGAAACAGGAGGCTGTGAAAGCAGCATTGGCGCCTGGCTCTGGAACATGCTCTGTGGCTCTTGGAGAAGGAGGGCCAGCCAGGCAGCGCAAGTTTATGCCAAGTGACAGTGGCCAGGGCATGGCCCCATGTGGGTTCCTCCGCCGAGGCAGGAGGGCCCCGTGAGGAAGGTCCTGGGTGCCAAGTCTGAGGCTCCATTTTGCTGCTTTCTTGCTAGGTGACCTTGGGCAAGTCACCCACACTCTGGCATGTGACCCAGAGACGATAATGGTCATTGTCACACCATCAGCATCATCTTTTTCCTTCTTCATCACAGCAAGTGCTTCTTAAGCATCTACTCAGATGCTTAACGCACTGAGTTAAGATTAACTCACTCAGTCCTCACAACCTCCACGTTATAGGTAATATCATCCCCATTTTGCAGATAAGGAGATGAGTGTACAGAGAGGTGAGGAAATTTGCCCAAGGCCATACAGCCGGCAAGCAGCATAGGTGGGATCCGAGCACTGGAGAAAGCCTTGTTAAAGATGGGGCCACACTGCCTCTCTCTGGGGCATTGTGAGGATGAAACTAACAAATGCCCATGAACCCTTTAAAGGGGGCTGGGCACGGGGTGGGCACTGGATAAGCAGGAGCTTTGATTCTGACCCAAGACCGCAGGGTACCAAGACACAGGCCAGAAGCCAGACACTAATCCAGGGTACCCATCCATACCAGCTCTGTGATTGGGAGTACAGAGACTGCTCAGCAGACCTGGTTATAGTGATGACAAATGAAGCCTTTGTAAACTGTGACGTGCTAGGGAAACCCAAGGCCTGGCCCTCCCCATCCGCCCTGCACACAGCGGGTCCTCTGCACCCCAGGAATTGGACAGAGGGGGCAGAATTTGGAGGAAGGTCCTGCCCCATCCACTCCTTACCTGGCGGGAAAAGGCAGGCCCAGCCTCAGAGAGCAGGCACTGTGCGGCTGGCATTGGCCACCAGCTGCAGCGGGCTGCGCAGTGGCCAAGCCACCAGGACTGCCAGGTCCACGCTGACCCCACTGTCCCTGCCATGAAGGGCCACGCTGGCCTGGGTCTGGGTCTCTAGAGGCAGAAAATGGCAGGGACTACTAAAGCAGGTTCACCTCCCCTCCCAGCCCAGGAACACACCGGACTTCAGGAGGGGCCATGCCCTGTGGCCCTCAAACACAACACCAGCAGGAAAGGGAAAGGCTCCCATGGGGGGCTGGGTGGGGTCAATCCCTTTTGATCCTCCTTGACATCATCTGTCATCATTTGCCCATGAGGATCTAGGCCTGGGTGACTCCTCCTTTCATTGAAGTTGCTGAAATGACACCTCTTCCTAGAGGGCTCCCCTGACTGCCCATCTGAAGTCCCTCCCAGTCCTTTGCTGCCAGCCATCCTCCATCCCATCTCGCTGGATTGGGGTTCCCAGCACACCCTGAAATGACCTCGCTCCCTTACTTACTAGGCTCCTGCTCCCCTATTGCCACCCCACAAGAATGACAGCCCCTGGGTCCAGATTTCTCTTAGGAGGGCTCCTGACACACAGCAGGGGTTCAGTGAATGCTTTCTGAATGACTGTGGGATGAAGGGCTCTGCGGGGGTTCCTGGGGATTCTCTGAGCAGCCTGCAGAGGAATCAGCATGAGGTCTGCCCTTGAGAAATGGCCACTTCGGCCACTGATACCCACCTGCAGCCACCTGGCCCTGGTTGGAGGGTCCCATCCCTTCCATCACCCCCCACAGAATAGGAGAGTCTGGTTCATGGTTAGGAGCTTCCTCTTTGACTTAAATTCCCTCTGCTACACACAGAACCATTGGGTCCAGGAGCCCCAGAGCAAACGGATGTCGCCTACTCTATGTCAGAGGCCAGGTTCCCATGGGGTGCAGCTCATGGCTCAGGCCCAAGTGACACTCAGCCAGGCTCCAGCACCTCCCATCTGGCCAGCAGGTGGATGAGCCCCACAGCACTGAGCCTTGACTTCCTTATCTATAAGGAGGGCACAGCCCACCTGCCTCAAGGGACAGTGTCCAGAGTAAATGGGGTAACACTGTGGGGCATGCAGGAGGCCTGGGAAACCCTTCCTTCCTTCCTTCCTCATTCAACATGCAACCACCTGTACCTACAGTGTGCAGGGCAAGAGAAGGGAGGGGACACAATTCCCATGCCCGGGAGCGCGTGGCTGTCTGGCACCAAGAATGTTAACGACAGGCAGAAAGCGTCCCCAACGGGGGGGGGGGGACAGCAGACTGGACAGCAATGGAAGGAGGGAGAGGTCACTCCTTGCGGGGGGTGGCCATAAAGGCATCCTGGGTCAGGAACTAGAGTGGCGTGGAGGTGTTCATCCAGAATGACCTCCCATCACTTGGTCACCCCGTCCCCAACAAACTCTGAGGTCAGCTCAGACTGGCGACAATTTCCTCATGTGACCCAATCCTCCATTCACCCCTCAGGAGGCTGAGGGCCAAAAATAAAGTGTTTTTTTTTGTTGTTGTTTGTAAATTTTTTTGAGATGCAGTCTCACTCTGTCACCCAGGCTGAAGTGCAGTGGCATGATATCAGCTCACTGCAACCTCCACTTTCCAGGTTCAAGAAATTCTCATGCCTCAGCCTCCTGAGTAGCTGGGACTACAGGCATGCACCACCATGCCCAGCTAATTTTTTTTTTTTTTTTTTTTTTGTAGAGACAGGGTTTCACCATGCTGGTCAGGCTGGTGTCAAAATCCTGACCTCAAATGATCCACCCACTTTGGCCTCCCAAAGTGCTAGGATTATAGGCATGAGCCACCACACCCAGCCCCCAAAATAAAAAAAAAAATTTGAAGCCAACAGATGCCGTAGGGGACTAGGGAGACCCAGGGTTCCTGAATGTTCAAGAGCCAGGTCTCTGTAATCTATATAGAGTAAGAGGGTGGCTCTGGGTTTAATCCTTGCTCTGTCATTAACAGCTATGTGGCCTGGGCCAGGTGACTCAACCTCTCTGAGCCTCCATTCCTCATCTGCAGAATGGGAATGGCGTTCCTAACCCTACCTCATAGGCTCATTCATGTACATTCAACACTTTCTATGTGCCCTGTGGCAAAGCAGACAAAAATCGTCCCTGCCCTCATGGAGCACACATTCTCGTGATTCTTGTGCGGAGAGAATGAGAAACAAAGGTATTTGTATGCTACATGGTGTGTTCAAATGACAGAGCTGCGGAGAGGGTGGGAGGGGATGGGAGCGGACGGGGAGGTGGAAAAGAGGCCTCCCTGAGATTACGTTGGAAAAATACCTAAGGGAGGCGAGGGAGCCAGGCAGGTGTGTGGGAGAGAGGCATTCCAGGCAGCAGGATCAGCTCGTGCCAAGGTCATGGGGCAGCAGCAAGCCTGGTGTGTTAAAGAATAGCAAGGAGTGGAACAGGTGGGGCTGGCGGCTGGGAGACAAGGTCAGATGGGGGAAGGGTGTGGGTTCTGATGGCTTGCAGGCCCCTCTAAGAGCTGTGGTGTTCCCCTGTGTGATTGGGACAGCTGTACTGTACTGAGCTCTCGCGTGTACATAGCTTGCCTGGTGTGTATGCAATAAGTGCCCAGCCAATGCTGGCTCCTCTTATTGCTATCTTTCCCCCATAAGGGGTTAAACTGTGTCCCCCAAAAAGAGATATTGAAGTCCCAACCCCCTTGCCATCTGTCCTATGAATATGACCTTATTTAAAAATAGGGTCTTGGCTGGGTGTGGTGGCTCACACCTGTAAACCCAGCACTTTGGGAGGCCCAGGCAGGCAGATCATGAGGTCAGGAGTTCCAGACTAGCCTGCTCTACATGGTGAAACCCTGTCTCTACTAAAAATACAAAAATTAGCTGGGCACGGTGGTGCACCTGCAATCCCAGCTACTCAGGAGGCTGAGGCAGGAGAATTGCTTGAACATGGGAGGCGGAGGTTGCAGTGAGCCAAGATCATACCAATGCACTCTAGCCTGGGTGGCAGAGTAAGACTCCATCTCAAAAATAAATAATAAATTAAAAAATAGGGTCTTTACGGATGGAAGTAAGTGAAAATAATGTCATATTCAAGCCAGATGGGCCCTCAGTCCACTGTGGATTGTTTTGTTTTTATTTTGAGACAGGGTCTCATTCTGTCATCCAGGCTGGAGCACAGTGTTGCAATCACAGCTCACTGCAGCCTTGACCTTCTGGCTCAAGTGATTTTCCTGCCTCAGACTCCTGAGTACCTGGGACTACTTATACATGCCACCACATCCGACTAACATGTCTGTGTTTTAAGCCATCCGGTGTGTGGAACTTGGTTGTGGAAGTCCTAGGAAATGAATCCACCTGCCTTGGGAGTGAGGCCATTGATGGACAAGGCTGTCCCAGTTGTCCCAGAGCCCAGGGCCACATTGGGCTTGATGGGGTGCCGCCTGGGTCCAGGGCTGCTAGGCTGGCTCAGGCATGGAGGAAGCCAGCTCCCAGTCTCGGGGCTGTGCGCTGGGTGCCTTACCATGTATCTGCAGTTCTGTGCTCAGGGAGGCCTTGCCTGGGAACTCCACCCACAACAAAGCCTCACTGTTGTGCCAGCTCTGGCCGGAGAGCTCCAGGTGCTCGTCATGGTAACAGCAGCTCACAGAGTAACTTAGAGATGTGGGTCCCATCAGGATGTGTCCAGAATGCTCAGAGCCTGAGCTATCATTGTGAATGTCCATGAAGACCTGCAATGACAGGAGACATTGGACGGCCCTGTGCAGAGAGCCAGCCCAGGGCAAGCTGGCACTGGCTCCCACACACCCTGGGGTTACCAGTGACATCCGTGTCCCTGTAGTGGGAGGAACTCAGATCCTCTTGAAGGAGCAGGTTTGATGACCAACGCAGTTACTTCAACTACTTACATGTGCAACAAAGAATCCACAGAGGAAACACAGAGAAACCAGTCAGGAGGTGGGGTGGGCAGTGGGGTGGGGGCCTGGGGAGGATGGCTGGAGAAAAACTTTGGGAAGAAGACATCCTGGCTGATGTGAAACAGGTTGGCAAGCCACAGCCTACACCTGTTGTTATAACGTTTTATTGGAACACAACCTTGCCTGTTTGTCAGAGGCATTTGAACCAGAGCAGCTCCATCTTGAATAGAGGTTGGGTAAAATGAGGCTGAGACCTACTGGGCTACACTCTCAGACGGTTAGGCATTCTAAGTCACAGGATGCGATAGGAGGTTACACAAGAGATAGCTCATGGCCAGGTGTGGTGGCTCATGCCTGTAATCCCAGTACTTTGTTAGGCTGAGGTGGGCAGATCACTTGAGGTCAGGAGTTCAAGACCAGCCTGGCCAACATGGTGAAACTCTGTCTCTACTGAAAAAACACAAAAATTAGCTGCTCATGGTGGTACATGCCTATAATCCCAGTTACTGGGGAGGCTGAGGCAGGAGAATCACTTGAACCTGGGAGGCGGAGGTTGTGGTGAGCTGAGATTGTGCCACTACACTCCAGCCTGGGCAACAGGGTGAGACTCCATTGCAAAAAAAAAAAAAAAAAAAAGAGAGCGAAATACAGGTCATAAAGACCTTGCTGATAAAACAGATTGCTTTAGAGAAGCTGGCCAAAACCCCCCAAGATGGCGACGAGAGTGACCGCTGGTCGTCGTCACTGCCACACTCCCACCAGCGCTATGACAGTTTACAAATATGGTGGCAACGTCAGGAAGTTACCCTATATGGTCTAAAAAGGGTGGCATGAGTAATCCATCCCCTGTTTGGCATGTCATCAATAAATAACCATAAAATGGGCACCAGCAGCCCTGAATCTTTTCTTGCACAAGATCCAAGAACCCTCTCTTGGGTCTGGATCGAGATCCCTTTCCTGTAACACGTTCATGTCCTATTCCAGTGGCTGCTTTCATGACACCACAGCAGCAGAGTGGAGTAGCTGCAGCAGAGACTTAGAGGCCACAGAGCCTAAGACGTTTACTCTCTGGCCCTTGACAGAAAACATTTCTCAAACTCTGCCACAAGATGTAATTCCCTCCCATGCCACCCCATGACCATCTCAGTAAAACCTTCAATAAGGCCAGGGGCAGTGGCTCAAGCCTGTGATCCCAGCAGTTTGGGGGGCTGAGGCAGGCAGATCACTTGAGGTCAGGAGTTTGAGACCAGCCTGGACAACATGGCAAAACCCTGTCTCTACTACAAATACAAAAATTAGCCAGGCATGGTGGGTGTCTATAATCCCAGCTACTCGGGAGACTGAAGTGGGTGGACCATGAGGTCAGGAGTTCAAGACTAGCCTGACCAACATGGTGAAACTGTCCTACTAAATACAAAAATTAGCCAGGTGTGGTGGTGGGCGCCTGTAATCTCAGCTACTTGGGAGGCTGAGGCAGGAGAATTGCTTGAACCTGGGAAGCGGAGTTTGCAGTGAGCCAAGATCACACCACTGCACTCCAGACTGGTTGACAGAGCAAGACTCCATCTTGAAGAAAAAAAAAAGGAAGGAAATTCTGACACAAGCTTGTCAAAACTTTGAGGACATGCTAAGTGAAATAAGCCAGTCCACAAAAGGACAGGCAGGCATGGTGGCTCACACCTGTAATCCCAGCACTTTGGGAGGCTGAAGCACGAGGATCACCTGAGGTCAGGAGTTACCAGCCTGGCCAACATGGTGAAACCCTGTCTCTACTAAAAATACAAAAAATTAGCTGGGTGTGGTGGCACGCACCTGTAATCCCAGCTACTCAGGAGGCTGAGGCAGGAGAATCGCTTGAGCCCAGGAGGTGCAGGTTGCAGTGAGCCAAGATGGTACCATTGCACTCCAGTGTGGGCAAGAAGAGTGAAACTCCACCTCAAGAAAAAACAAGGACAAATGAAGTGTATGATTCCATTTCTATGTGGTACCTAGAGTAGTCAAAAGCCTAAAACACAAAGTAGAATGGTGGTTGCCAGGGACTGGGGGCAGGAGCGAATGGGGAGTCAGCATTTAATGGATACAGACTTGCAGTTTTGCAGGTTCTGCAGATGAATAGCGGTGATGGCCACAGAAGACTGTAAACACAGGTAACGCTGCTAAACTTAACAACGGTTAAAACGGCACATTTTACGCAATGTATATTTAACCACAATTAAAAGTTAATATTTAAAAGACCATTTGTGGCCAGGCGTGGTGGCTCACACTTATAATCCCAGCACTTTGGAAGGCTGAGGCGGGTGGATCGTGAGGTCAAGAGATCGAGACCATCCTGGTCAACATGGTGAAACCCCGTCTCTACTAAAAATACAAAAATTTGCCTGGTGTTGTGGTGCATGCCTGTTGTAATCCCAGCTACTCGGGAGGCTGAGGCAGAAGAATCGCTTGAATACGGGAGGCGGAGGTTGCCATGAGCCGAGATCATGCCACTGCGCTCGACAGAGCAAGACTCCATCTCAAACAAAACAAAACAAAACAACAACAACAAAACAAGGCAATTTGCAGGACTGGATATGAAAAGGGAAAAAAATCTAAACCAATTGTTAAATAAATGTAAAGGTGAAATGTGTGCTGTAGAACCACCACCTGCTCAGCTGCCGAGCTCACCATTATTCCTAACTCAGCAGAAGAACCCACCCTCTGGGAAAAACTAAAAGCAAACCGCTGCTTCCAAAATGCATTTTTATGGTTGGAAATCTGTTTTTCCCAAGCCCTCCTTCCAGTCCTTGGCAGTGTGACGAGCGTTTCTCACCCCTGGGGATCTGGGGCTGGAAATGCAAAAGGGAAAGTCACCAAGGCTGAGTTTCAGCTGCCTGCATCCTTGCAGCCAGGGCCAGAGGGTCATGCGGGGTTCCCCAGCTCCCACCGTCCACGCTGGACTCATGGGGCATGGCTCTGCTGCAGTGGCCGGGCTCACCTCCACCAAGTGATTGCTCAGGGTGGGCTCCAAGTCATTCCTGAAGGTCTGGCTGACACGGAGATGCCTGTTGTTGCTGCTCTCATCCCAGTGCTTCCCGTAGTTCGCCCAGCTGTGAGTGCAGGTGGCCTGAGTCCTCCTTGTGCCAGAGCTGGACCTGGGACACACACAAGCGGTGAACTGTCCATGGAGGCCCTGCCCACCCAGTCCCTGGGCCCCCTCACAGCCACCCACTCCAGGGATATCAGTTTGGTTTTCTGAGGACACAGTTCTGTAGAAAGCACTATTTTGTTGACGTAGTTTTTGTTTTTGAGATGGAGTCTCGCTCTGTCACCCAGGCTGGAGGGCTGTGGCATAATCTCTGCTCACTGCAACCTCTGCCTCCCCAGTGCAAGCGATTCTCTTGCCTCAGCCTCCGGAGTAGCTGGGATTACAGGCACCTGCCACTACACCTGGCTAATTTTTGCATATTTAGTAGAGATGGGGTTTCACCATGTTGGCCAGGCTGATCTCAAACTCCTGACCTCGTGATCCACCTGCCTCAGCCTCCCAAAGTGCTGGAATTATAAGCATGAGCCACTGTGCCTAGCCTTGTTTTTTTTAAAAAAATTTGTTTATTTTAGAGACAAGATCTCACTCTATTGCCCAGGCTGGAGTACAGTGGCACCATCTTGGCTCACTGCAACCTCTGCCTCCTGGGCTCAAGCAACCCTGGATGAATAGACATAAGACTGAGGCTGAAGTGCCAGCCCTGGATCCATCCTAAATGGCTATGCTATTGGGAGCAAGTTCATCTCTTTGGGGATGAGCTCAGGGTACTCAGATCACCACTTGCCTGACTCTGGTGTTCTCTCTGGATGTCCCACCTGGCCTGGGCACCCACCTTGTGGCTGAAAGCCAGGATGTGTGTGCATCGGAGCTCATGGCCCAGCTCCAGCTTATAGGCACTATCTGAGCCACTCTGTCTGTAGCCTCTGGCTGGTGCTGCATTTGTGCACTGGTTGCTTTGCCTGAGCTGTGAGGATCGATCCAGAGCCCCTGCCATCCTCTGCCAGGGAGCCCTCCACCATGGCTCCAAGAGGAGGAGGGCCCAGCCCAGCCTGGCCTCAGCCATGCCCCCTACAGTCCCGTGCTCTGCTCCACCTGTCACTCCATTAGAACCTGTTGATAGGGAGGTCTTAAGAGATGGGTGAATGTCCCCTCAACAGACACACCTTTTCGTTTAATGAGCAGGTACTAAGTCCTACTCAGAGGCCACAGAGTGACTAATGGAAAACCCTGTGGTGACGGCACATCTTACCTTGCAGAGCCACAGCTGTAGGAAACAGGGTAGGCCCTGCCACCTCCACCTGCCCCGCAGTCAGGCACGCGGTGCCTTACCTGGGAGGCTGTACTGCATCCTCAGGCAGTTGGTCCAGAGCTGGCCTCACTGCTGCAGCAGGCCAAGGGCATGCAGCCCCGCCAGCCCTGACATGAAGAGCTCGGCACCCAGGGCGGCCACCCACTGTCCATCTTCCTCCTTCCTCTCCAGCAGTGCTGCAGGGACAGAGATCAGGCAGATGAAAGGATCAGCCCTCAGGGACCAACAATCCCAGACCCAGGCAAAGAGGGGACTCGGGAATCCCCCAAGGGCCTTGGAGTTGGGGGCTCCTTAAAGAGCCAACACCTGTGCCCTGCACAGCAGGCCACAGACAGGCCTGATCACGGCTCACTGCAGCCTTGACCTCCCAGGCTCAGTCAATCCTCCCACCTCAGCCTCCCAAACACATGTTTGTGGTGGCAAACATCTGCCACCACACTTGGCTAATTTATATAAATATATATATATATACACACACACACACACACACATATATATAAACAAATATATATATACACAAATATATATATATAAATATATATATACACCTTTTTTTTTTGTAGAAACAGGGGTCTTACGATGTTGGCCAGGCTGGTCTTGAACACATGGGCTCAAGCAGTCCTGCTGTTGGTTTCCCAAAACTTTGGTTTCCCAAAGTGCTGGGATTAGGCGTGGGACACTGTGCTTAGCCCAAAAATAAAGTAGAATGAGGCTGGGCGCAGTGGCTCACGCCTGTAATCCCAGCACTTTGGGAGGCCAAGGCAGGCAGATTTCCTGAGATCAGGAGTTCGAGACCAGCCTGGCCAACATAGTGAAACCCCATCTCTAGTTAAAAAAAAAAAAAAAAAAAAAAAAAAAACAGGTTTGGTGGCACCTGTAATTCCAGCTACTCAGGAGGCTGAGGCAGGAGAATCGCTTGAACCCAGGAGGCAGTGGTTACAGTGAGCTGAGATTGCGCCATTGCATCCAGTCCCGGCAACAGTGCAAGACTCTGTCTCAAAAAAGAAAAAAGTAGAATGAAACAAAATCAAATAGGACAGATGAAAAAAGAATTAACCACACATCATGGGTTGTCGTGTAAATTTCACCTTCTGAAGCTTCTGCAACACTGAAGGTCATCCAGAACACACAGGTGGAACTGGGCCAGCTGTTATGACTCCCAAACACCCACGTGAGGTGGTCAACAGCCACCGCTCCAAATGCCCCTGGCCCCAGCTGCTGTTCTTACCTTGGAATCTTTCACAACCGATAAGCGGCACACCCAGGCACCACCACCCCGGCTCTGGCACAGGGCAGCACCTGCTCAGCCTGTGTGGATTTAATTCCCAGGGTATTTTAGGTCAAAATGTTACCTGTGTTTCTTATCATGGGTCAGAATAAAAACAGCCCAAAAGCTGCTATTTTAAGGTTTGTGGGGGCAGTTGGAGGCTGGGGGAGTTTCTGGGGGCTCACACTGAGCCAGGTTCTGTCCTTAGATGGGATGTTGCTATTGAGAGGCTGGGGCGATGAGGACCATCAGGAGACATTTGGCCCACACCCTAGCCTGGCCATGGAGGAGATGGGGCACAAGGGGTCTCATCTCCTACCTGTCACGTGGGCCTGGTCACTCAGCAGATGGCTCAGCGATGCGGAGAAGGCCAGCTTGCTGCCTGCCTGCCATGTGATGTTCCCTATAAAGATGATGGGGCTGCCCCATCACCAGTTTCACCTCCAGCTGTGCCTGGAGCCACTTGACCTCACCACCCATGGGTGGCTGCAGGTCACTCCAGCCCTGAAAAGGCCTTGGTGTCACCTGGGAGGATAGGCTTAGCCAGCAAGCCCAGCCATGACCACACAAGCTGGGGCCGGAGACAGCTAATCCTTCCACAGGTTTTGTTTTTTCTTGAGATAGGGTCTCACTCTGTCATCCAGGCTGGAGTACAGCGGCGGGATCCTGGTTCACTGGAACCTCTGCCTCCCAGGTTCAAGTGATTCTCCTGCCTCAGCCTCCCTAGTAGCTGGGATTACAGGCACACATGACCATGCCCAGCTAATTTTTTCTATTTTTAGCAGAGATGGGGTTTCACTGTGTTGGCCAGGCTGGTCTCAAGCTCCTGAGCCCAAGTGATCCGCCTGCCTTGGCCTCCCAAAGTGCTGAGATTACAGGCGTGAGCCACTGTGCCCGGCCCTTCCCCAATTTTTTAAACTCCAGATTTCTCAAAATTAGAAACCTGTGTTACAAACTCAGAAGTAAATACAAAGGACTCCTCTTCTCGCCTCGACAATCCCCTCATTGGATCCATCAGGAATTCGGTCAACCGTCGCTATGGAATCCGTCTAGAATCAACCTCTTCTGCCACCTCCGCTGCATACCAGCTCCAGCGCTGGTCATGCACCACAGCATCCTCCTGGCTCTCACCTCGCTGCTGGTAACTGATCTCCACGTGGTGACCAGACGTGTCGAATGATGGCACACTAGCGTTTCTTACAGCACAATCCAAAGTCCTCGAGAAGGCCAGTGAAGCCAGAACTTTGTTGGTCACTGGTGCAGACACTGACAGGTGGGCCACAGGGAAGCTCACTACACTCCAAGGCCCCACATGGGAGATCCTCTAGAAAAGCCACGAGCAACTGCAAATATCATCTTTGGTGGCCCTGCCAACCTGCAGATCCACCCCACACACCCTCTGATGGCCACTAGCTGGTCAGTTCACCCAAAAGATGTCAAAACAACACTTGCTATTACCAGACCGTCACTACTTAATGCTGTCTTTCCCTGATCCCCACAGGTGTATGCAGATGTGTGTGTACAAATGTATGTGCATGTGTGTACAGATGTATTTGTACATGGATGTATGTGCATACAGAAGTGTGTGTGTGTAGATACATAGGTACGTGTGTATGAATGTGTGGATATGGATGTGTACATGGATGTGTCTATGTGTAGACGTGTGTATACAGATGTGTGTAAAGATGTGTCTATAAGGATGTGTATATGGATGTATGTATACAGCTATGTCTACATGTAGATGTAGATGCTCGCAGTGTTTCCTGCTGACAGGCACATCCTAACGACAGCTTTCTCCAGTCTGTGTCAGAGGCTGTGTGGTGGTGTCAGAGCTTCCTCTGTGAACAGGGTGAGCACAGAATTTCTCACCCAAACCACAACACTTTGCAGTTAAAGAGAACACTAGTTATAAATGCGTCAGGTCAGCAGGTGTAAGCTGGGGCTCTTCAGGCAACCCAGGACCCAACCCCCACACACCAGGGGAGGGTGTGCCAAACAGAACACTTCCCACACCAACCTTAAATCCCATAAACTTTGAGACAAGTTGAACCCAAGCTCTGGCACTTAGTATTCATGAGCTCATCAGCCTCAGTATCCTCACCTCTTATGGGGTTACAGAGAAGACTTGAAGAAGGGACCTCATGTCTGCTGGAACAGGCTCCAGAAAGTTCCAGAGTGCCAACTATTACTGTAATTGTGATGAGTCTGCAGTGAATGGAATTAGAATTTCTCCAAAAGCAAACATTTCCAGGCTGCAGACAGCTCTGTAGGGAGTGGCAGGAAGGTCCGAGGGGAGGTACAGGCAATTCGTGCTTGCACATTTAGCAAACAACGAGAAGTTCAGGGGCCCCTGGGAGTTCCAGAAAGGAGGCATAAGTCTCAGCCATCAGGCAGGTGGGGCTTTAGGAGAAAGACGGCTCTCCCCTGACATGGGTCTTCTCCCCACCCAGGCTGACGGCACAGGTGGAAGTGGAGAGAGTATTTATGCAGCAAGACATCCAGCCCTGGCTTCAGACGCTCCACTCCAGGCCCCTCTGAGAAGACACTGGAAACTCAGGCAGAATCGGGAGATCCACTGCTGAACTCGCCCAGGAGTCATGCCTGGTGGGATCAAGTCTAAAGTTGCTATTTGTACCCTGGGTGGAGTGCAGTGGCACGATCTCGACTCACTGCAACCTCCACCTCCCACATTCAAGCAATTCGCCTGCCTCAGCCTCCCGAGAAGCTGGGACCACAGGCATGCACCACCACGCCCAGCTAAATGTTGTATTTTTAGTAGAGACAGGGTTTCGCCATCTTGGCCAGCCTGGTCCCAAATTCCTGACTTCAAGTGATCCTCCCTCCTTGGCCTCCCAACATTTGTATACTTTTTGAAGTCACCTGTCTGCTTGAAAAGGGGATAGAAGTTTTAAATCTTCTCCGCAGAATGGAGGAGACAGACACAAAACTTCAACACAATGACAAGGGCTTCAAGTGACTCACTAACTTCCATCCAGGTAGCCTTGGTTAAGAACCCTTGAAAAGCACCTACAAAGATGAAAATGAGCCTGGGCAACATAGTAAGACCCATCTCCACAAAAAAGAAAAGAAAAGAAAAAGATAGAAAAGCATGGTGGCACAGGCCTTAGCCCCAGCTACTTGGGAGGCTGAGGCAAGAAGATCACTTGAGCCCCGGGGTTCAAGTTTGCAGTGACCTAGGATCATGCCACTGTACAGAAGACCTTGTAAAAGAAAGAGGAAAGTGAGGGAGAGAGAGAAGAGGTGTGGGAAAAGACATGGGAGAAAGGGAGGGAAGGAGGTAGGAAGAGGAAAAGAGCTGGAATGGAGGGAGGGAGAGAAAGGAAAGGAAAAAAAAAGAAAGGAAAAGAAAATAAATGAGAAAAAACATATAAACCTTGTGGCCAGGGAATTCCACTATTAAGAATTTACTCTGCAGAGAGAATGGTGTTCCCAGCAGAATATTTGTAAGAGAAGGAACCTGGGAAAAACTCTGGAGCCGTTTGTTATAAAACTAGCTGAATATATTCCATTCCACGGACTAGGACACGGCCATCTGCACTACACGGGAGACGCTGGGCTAAAGTGGACATATTAACTCCATGTGCTGACTGTGTGCATAGATCATCTCGGAATAGAATCACCAAAACAACCCTAAAGTGGTTGGCTTTCAGGAGGGGTGGGAGAGCGGCTTTAAGGCTGCACCAGCACCAACCAATAGAACGTTCTGCAATGAGGACCATGTTTCAGGGCCACCTGCAGCTGTGGAGCATCTGAATGTGGCCCATGCAGCCAAAGAACCAAATCTTTCATTTTCTTTAACGTTAATTCATTTAGATTTTTTTTTGAGATGGAGTTTTGCTGTGTTGCCCAGGCTGGAGTGAGGCTGCATGATCTTGGCTCACTGCAACCTCTGCCCCCCAGGTTCAAGCAATTCTCCTGCCTCAGCTTCCCAAGTAGGTGGGATTACAGGAGCCCACCACCACATCTGGCTACTTCTTGTGTTTTTAGTAGAGATGGGGTTTCACCATGTTGGTCAGGCTGGTCTCAAACTCCTGACCTCAGATGAGCCACCTGACTCAGCCTCCCAAAGTGCTGGATTATAGGCATGAGCCACCATACCCAGCCTCACTTAGATTTCATTAAACACATATGCCACTGGCTGCCATGTGGGAGACTCAGTTCTATACCCTTTCACAGTTTTTGAACTTTGAATCATTTAAATGCATCACCTATTTTTTAAATTGTAGAATAGAATAGAATTTAGATAATTAATCTAAATGAAATCTACAATAGAATTTAAATTGTACCAGTGCATACCGATATGTAAAAAGATTGCCGAGGAGTGTGTGTGTGCGTGTATATATGTATGTATATTTCCTTTTTTTTTTTTTTTTTTTTCGGAGTCTCACTCTGCTACCCAGTCTGGAGTACAGTAGTACGAACTTGGCTCACTGCAACCTCCACCTCCAGGGTTCAAGTGATTCTCCTGCCTCAGCTTCCCGAGTCACTGGGATTACAGGCACACACCACCACGCCCAGCTCATTTTTGTACTTTTAGTAGAGAAGGCATTACACTATGTTGGCCAGGCTGGTCTTGAACTCCTGACTTTAAGTGATCCACCTGCCTCAGCTTCCCAAAGTGCTGAGGATTACAGGCATGAGCCACCACGCCCAGCTGCAAAGGTGTATTTTTTAGTAAAAAGAGCAAGGTACAAACAAAAAACAGGGACTAGCTGGGCATGGTGGCTCATGCCTGTAATCCTAGCACATTGGGAGGCTGAGCTGGGAAGATCGCTGGAGCCCAGGAGGCCGAGGCTGCAGTGAGCCATGTTTGCACCACTGCCCTCCAGCCTGAGTGACAGAGCAAGATCCTGCCTCGAGAAAAAATTAAAATTAAAATTAAACCAAAACCTAACCATGACGATTGGGTTTTCATGCTATTGTATGACATATGCCTTCCTCAAAACTTGTTACGACATCATCACATCACCCATCTGATGTGAAAAAGAAAAAATAGAACCCAGAAACCCAAACCAAAAATAATTGCAAATCTATCATGTTATATGTTGTACTGTGTCTCCCTGAAAGACGCCGAAGCCCTACGCCTCAGGATCTGTGGATGTGACCTTATTTGGAAATAGGTTCTTCACATGTGATCAAGCTAAGCTGAGGTGATGAGGGTGAACCCTAATCCTATATGCCTGGTGTCCTTATAAAAAGGGGATGTGTGGACACAGACACCTACAAAGGGAAGACGATGTCAAGACAGAGACAGAAGACCACCTACAAGCCAAGGAACTCTGGAGGCTATGAGAATCCAGGAGTGAGACCTGGGACAGATCCTCCCTTAACAGCCTTCACAGGAAAAACAAACAAAAACCCCTTGACTTCAGACTCCTGACCTCCAGAACTGTGAGAATAAATCTCTGTGGTTTATTCTGAAGCCACACACTTTAGGGTACTTTGTTAAGGCAGTGCTGGGAAATGAATGCAGATTTCTTGGGGCATGCATCAACACTTCTGCAGGAAATGTGGAACGTGGCATGCTTGAACTTACCATTCATACCTTTCTCTACTCTGAATTCTTTTTTTGAGAGACAGAGTCTCACTCTGTCACTCAGGCTGGAGTGCAGTGGCACAAGCATGGCTCATTGCAGCCTCCATCTCCCGGGCTCCAACGATCCTCTTGCCTCTGCCTCCCGAGTAGCTGAGACTACAGGCACATGCCACCGTGCCTGGCTAATTTAAAAACAAAAATGTTTTGTAGAGATGAGGTCTTGCCATGTTGCCCAGGTTTACCTGGAACTTCTAGCCTCAAGTGATCCTCACACCTTGGCCTCCCAAAGTTCTGTGATTACAGGTATAAGCCAGTGTAACTGGCTTGCTGGATTTTTTTTTGTGTGTGTTTTTTTAAGACAGAATCTTGTTCTATTGCCCAGGCTGGAGTGCGGGGACATGATCTCAGCTCACTGCAACCTCCACCTCCTGGGTTCAAGCAATTCTTCTGCCTCAGCCTCCTGACTAGCTTGGATTATAGGCACCTACTACCACACCCAGGTGACTTTTGTGTTTTTATTAGACACGGGGTTTCACCATTTGGCCAG